TTGAACTACCTGAGAAAGTAAACAGGTAAACAGACAGCGATAGGCTCTCCAAGTGGAGTGCGTCCACTTAGCCTGTGCACATTTACCTCTTCTTTGCCGAAACCCTGTGCTCGGTTGATCAAACAGTCCCTCCCCAGAAAGTGGGCCCGCAGCCCCGCAGCCCCGCAGCCCACTGCGCGCCTGTCACCGAAGCCGCACACGCACGGAGGAAAAAAAAAAACAAACAAAAACGTAAAACAAACAAACAAAAAAACAACAGGAAATCACCCCACCCCAGACCCACACCCAGACCCACACCCACCCACCCGTAGACGGGTCTCGGTGTACGGAGGTCCCGCGGCTCCCGCTGCGGTTCCTCCCACATGTATAGGCAGCGGCGTCGGGTCAGTCACTGCGTCGCCGTCCGTGATGCTCTGCGGGGGTCTGCGGGCTGCATGGGTGTCCCTGCCCGGGCTGTGGGTTTAGGACATCAGGTCAGTCACCTCTCTCTCTCTGTCTCTGTCTCTCTCTGTGTCTCTCTCTCTCCCGACACCCCCTGACGGAGCTGCGGTTTGTCAGCACACAGCCGTTCTGCTGAATGGAGCCTTTGTGGGATGTTGTGATTAATTCCAGTGAGCTGGTAAAATATTTAACCCAGAGCCGGTATGTCAGGTGCAGCACAGAGGAGGAAGAGGAAGAAGAAGAGGAGGAAGAGGAAGAAAATTAGTTATTTAAACGGCGATCATATTAATATAATAATAACAATAATAATAAAAGTAGTAATAACGGTAATAATAGTAATACGTAGCAATACACAGAAATACAATAATATTACAATAACACAAATAATAATAATAATAATATTCATAAAATATATAAAATATGGCTTGTATAAAAATTGTGATGATAATAAAACTATTATTATTATTACTGATAATAATAGCATTCCTCTAATAGTAGATGGTATAATAATAATAATTATTATTATAGTTATTATTTACAATATTATTATTAAAAATATTATTACCTTATTTTTACTTTTAAAATCTGAAAGAAAAAAATAAGTTTTTTCTGCCTTTACTAGAAGAGCAACCTCTCTCTCTCTCTCCCTCTCTCTCTCTTTCTGTGTGTGTGTGTGTGTGTGCTGAGATGAAGGACTTTCCTTAATATTGTGGCCGGGCCCGGGAATTGAATGAAGAGATAGTCCATTGAAAGCGCTTGAATGCCATGACAACTAGGAACAACCTCAGATTTATTCCAAACAGTTAGAACGCATTGTGCGCGGGGCGTCAATCATCCATTATTTCGGCCCTGAAATAAATGCAAAAACTGCGGCCGCACAAAAGCTTCCAACAGGAGCCGGACATTTGTCTACATTTCCCCCATTGTCTGCAGCTTAGCAATCGGTTTGTATTTGTGTTTGCCCCGCTCCGACCACCCAGGATGAGCAGGGGACTCGCTGGAACATTGTCACCCACATCACATACTGGAGTGGAGGCACTTTCAGAGCAGAGAGAGAGAGAGAGAGCGAGAAAAGGGAAAGGGGGAAAGAAAGTCTTGAAGGGGAGAAAAATAAAGTAAAGCAACAATGATATTCGCATTTCCACAGGAGTGAGGAGGAGGAGGAGGAGGAGGGGGGGCGAGGGGAGGGTGAGTTAGGACAATTTAAAGGAGGAAAAACAAATATTAGGACATTAGGAGGTGAAGAGATTTATGGAGGTCAAAAAAAATATCCTGGATTTGTTTCAAAATATATTTTTTTTAAATCAACGAAAATCTAACCCTCCTCCTCCCAAAAAAATCGACGCGTTAAAATAATCCCGGTTATTCAAATCGAACAATTATTGTATCGTCGATGTATTGATGTCACGATAATATTGTTTATTTTATGACCTCATTATCGCTAACCCTAACAAATGACGTCGTCGACACTTAGAGCTCCGTGATTTCAACACAAACAGATTCCTGTTTCAGACTCTTGTCTTTAAGCCCTGGCAAAAATA